TCCTACCCTACTCTATACTTTATTCTATTCTCCTACCCTACCCTACTCTATTCTATTCTATTCTATTCTCCTACCCTACCTTACCTTACCCTATTCCCCTACCCTACCCTACCCTCCTCTATTCTCCTGCCTTACTCTACTCTATTCTATTCTCCCAGCCTACCCTACTCCATTCCATTCCATTCTATTCTATCCTATTCTATTATTGTAAACTGTAATAAGGACATTCCATGGTATTTTTTCAGTTCTGGGTTAACGAAATCCATTCAATTCTGCCAAAGATGAGGGTTCAATTTCCACTCACTGGGTTCAGCATAAATTGTTCCAACATCCACCTGGAAGACATAAACAGAAAGACCCTTCAGGCTGGACTTCACTGCTCCCCAGAAGCGCCCTCTGTCCTCACCCCCCACCCCCACCCAGGATAGAAAGTCAGACCCCTCCTGGTCAATGCTCCCAACCACTGGAAGTTTTGAAGAAGAGACTGGACAACTATTTGTCTGAAATGGTCTAGTTTTTCCTGCACAAGTTGGACTAGAAGACCTCTAAGGCCCCTTCCAACTCTGCTATTCTACATTCTGTCACATTTCTGCAGATGATGGTGATGAAGCAGAGGTGGTATATTCAGCCGGTTCTGACCAGTTCTGGAGAACCAGTAGCGGAAATGTTGAGAAGTTCGGAGAACCAGCCAATCCCACCTCTGACTGGCCCCGCCAACCCCATCTCTTCTCTGCCTCCCATTGAGTCCCAGCTGATCGGCTGGGTCTCCTTTGGTTGCCCTGCACAGGAGAATGGAGCTGGAAAGCAGGTTAGTGGGGTGGGGAAGGAAGGGGGATTTTGCAGTATCCTTCCCTTGCCACGCCCACCAAGCCACGCCCACCAAGCCACAGCCACAGAACCGGTAGTACAAAATTTTCGAATCCCACCTCTGTAACGAAGGTGGTGATGAATTGCTTTTTCTTGCAACAGTGCAGCACAACACACAGGAAAGAGAGACAGTGACAATTGCGCATGACTCCTGGAAGCCAGGAGGCCTGTCCAAGAAAAGTTTTCTCCATAATTATTGGGAGAAACCAAAGAGCTGATCAGGAAGGAAATGACTTACCCGGAATTCTCCGATCACAGAGTCTGTCCGGAAAGAACGAGAGTCAACAACCTGAAGAGGGAACACCAACAAAAAAAGTGAGCCTCCACTTAAACAACGTGTCCTAACATGCCAGCTGATCTTCTGCCCCTCAAGGGTCTTAGCATTTGGGCCAAGAGCCAACGCCTCCTGGTCTGCACCAAGATTTTGGTGAGCTTTCTGTGTCCTCCCACAAGCTCTTGTGAACTTCCAGCCCAGGTTGGGCAGACATTTCCCAAGACTGCAAGGCAAGATTGGAGGTTGGTCACAAGGGTTGGTGAGCTTGCAAAAGAGGTCTGAGGATCTGGAGATAACTCAAGGGAGCTGGCTGATCCCTTGTTCAAAAGGCAACAGGGGGGGAAAAAAGAAGAAAACGATGAAATCTAGCACCACCTTAGTCATGAAAGCCAAATGGACGACTTTGGGTCAATCACTAGGAGACTGTGAGTTCTAGTGCGGCCTTAAGCATAAAAGCCAGCTAGTTGACTTTGGGCCAATGACCAAGAGACAATGAGTTCTACTCCCACTTTAGGCATGAAAACTGGCTGGGTAACTTTGGGCCAATCACTAGGAGACGGTGAGTTCTAGTTCTGCCTTAGCCATGAAAGAAAGCTGGGGGACTTCCCTCCGTCTCAGCCCAACCCACCTCACAGGGTTGCTGTTGTGTGGGGAAAAAAAAGGAGGGAAGACCGTTAACTCCATTCATCACCTTGTTTGTAAAACTAATAAAGGTGGGATGCAAATAAACAAATGGTGAATGAAATTTGGGGGAGGGGATGTGAACTCTCTGAAATGCTGGGACTAATTGGGTTGGACTAGATGACCTACAAGGCGGGGACGACCAGAACTTCCTGTTTCCGGCTTCTGGTGGGTCTCCAGAGCCCAAGGGAGGCCATTTTCACCCTCCCAAGGGTCCAGAGGCCTCCCCCAGGCCTCTGGGAAGGCAAAAATGTCCTCCCCTGGGCTCTGGAGGCCCTCCGGAAGCCGGAAACAGTCCCATTTCCAGACTTCCAGAAGGCCCAGTTTTCTCCTCCCAGAGCCTCCGTGCGAAGCCTGCACTTAGCTCCATTGAAAATGGGCCTCATGGAGACTCCTGGGAGGGGAGGGGAGGGGAAGGGCCAGCCAATCGGTTGGAACACCGGTTCGGTGAACCAGATGCAAATTTAACATCCGGTTCACCCAAACCGGTCCGAACCGGTAGAATCCCACCCCTGGCAGAGACCCTTTTTAGATCAAGGTCAGAACCCACCAACACCTGCGTGATTGGCAGAAGCTCCCCCAGACCTTCACAAAGGTGGGCTTGAGGTTGGTCACCTGGAAATCCTGGGGTTTGTTGGAGAGCAGCTTCCGGGAAGTGCTTTTCCTTCTCTTGCTTGCAGGAAGAACGTGAGACGGCGGCCTTTTGGGCAAGGAAGGCTGATCGGGAGCTGAGGGTCTTGCAGAAGGATCGGCTTCCTCTTCGGTGCCCAGCTGGTCCTCACTGTCTTCTTCTCCCCCTGTGTCTGCGGGAGAAGGAGGTTCGCTGCTTTTAGTCTCCCCATCGGATTTTTCAGGGCGGCTCATCAACTGCCCTCAAAGCAAAGCTACCCCAAAGGAGACAACATTACTCACGGCGGGATTACATTTCTAAGCAGGGCCAGGAAGTTTGTGACAAACTTCAGGGACTAAAAAGGGCAGGAAAATAATTCAGGGGGTGGGGTATTAGGGAATATTTTGTATCGAACTGATTTAGGGTTTGATTTTAAGGTATTAGGTCTCCTGTTTGAGCAGGAAAGACTAGAAGACCTCCAAGGTCTCTTCCAACTCTGTTCTTCTGTCATTCTGTGATTCTGTTATGTTACTCTCTTATTATGTTATTCTGTTATTCTGTTGTTGTTCTGTTATTCTGATATTCTGTTGTACTGCCATTCTGTTGTTCTGTTGTTCTGATATTCTGAAATCCTCTTACTCTGTTATTATGCTATTCTGTTCTGTCATTCTGTTATTCTGATATTCTGAAATCCTGTTACTCTGTTATTCTGCTATTCTGTTGTTCCGTCATTCTGTCGTTCTGTTATTCTGATATTCTGAAATCCTGTTACTCTGTTATTCTGCTATTCTGTTGTTCTGTCATTCTGTTGTTCTGTTATTCTGATATT